CGTGCTCTGGTCCATGGGGTCACGAAGAGTCGGACACAACTAAACGACGAAGTGCAATGGCATAAACTGCCGCAGCAAACTGGCACTAGTTAGTGAGTTGCTGCTTACAGATCTCATCACATGACTTGTGTGCAACGAGGCAACTTGTTAAATAGTGGCTGTTTGCTGTTGCAATCTGTGCCACTGCACATACAGTGTAACCAACCAACAGGATTCTGGCCTGTGTGTTATTTGAAAAAAACTGAGAAGCAACTACAGAAACAATAGCAGCAACTACAAAGCAAGTAGAAAGAATTATTCATCAAATTATGGACACAATTTTATCAATTATAATATGCACAATTTTATCATAAGGAGGTTTGTTTGGAAATATTAAAGTGAAAATTAGTAAAACTCTCAAGCAAACACTAATGGGCAATAGCATAAATGAGTATGAAGGACATATGAAGAGAACATTAGCCAAATTCAAGGAGGCTCCATATTCAGCAACTCTACTTGGCCTGAGCCAGGGATGGGGAACCTACAGCTTTCCTGGTGTTTTTGGACTATCTTTCAATCCATGACCACTGGCACTGCTGGCCAAAGATGACTGGAGCTGCACTATAACAAACCATGGCACCCATAAGTTTCACACCTCTGGAGCGAAGGCCTTAGGATGCTGAAGCTGAGCAGACTTCAGTCTTGTCACTGTCTGGATGCAAGACCCAGAAACCCCATTTAAGCCACTTTGAGTTCCATAATAAAAATGGAACAAGGAGGCAATAACGAATCAACTAGAGAGCCAGTGTGGTGCAGTGAATAGAGTGAGTTAGGACAGTGGTCTCAGTAGTCTAGTATGTGATGCTATGTAGTTCTCAGCATGGTGTACTGGAGTTGATAGATTAGAACTCTTGAGGACAGGGTTAATCCCCACTTGGCCATGGAAACTGACTGAGGGTGTGGGTAAAACAAATCATTTGATAGCTCACTTATCTTTAAAACATTATTAGGGTCACTATAAATTGGTTTGGACTTGACAGCACATAACAAAATACTATATAACGTCTATTAAACATGTCAGAAATCAAGTGCTATTGAACTAACTGAGCATGAGTTCAAATCTCAGCATCCAAGAGGGGACAACTTGTACCCCTTCTTCTTCCCATGCTGTCAGCCCAATATCCCTCATTACAGGTTGTCTAGTTAAGTCGGATGAGTTGCAATCAAACAACACCAAAAGGGTCAAACGTTTCCTACTCCTCGGTTAGTCACTATGCTCCACAGGGGCGCGCATCCCGGGCATTCTCACGACTCTTTGCACGCCTGCATGAGAACCGGCCCCGGGGTCTCCCTTTTTCCTCCGCATTCCCCTTTCCCCGCCGCCCGGACCTGAAGTTGGACCAGGCGAAATTTAGTGCCGCCTGGAAATGGGCAGCTTCTTCTCCTCTCTCTTCCTTCAGGCCGGTGACCCGCCGGATCAGCTCCCGCAACGTCAGGTCCTGCTCCTGCTCGAAGCGGCTCCAGTGCGCCGGCGGAGTTGGGGTGGTGGCCGTGGCTGCCGCCCCCGCCATGGCCGGCCGAAAGTGCGGGCGAGGGGGGGGGAAGGACGCCAGGCGGGCAGCCCTACTTCACGCACGCCTCGGCGCCACCGTTTGTTTCTCTCTCTCCATCCTGACGACCTCTCGCGCAGCTGGACTGTACCGCGAGACTTTCTTCTCTAGGCCCCAGGCAAGGCTCCTGCGCATGCGCCAGCTCCTCTCTCTCTCTCTCTCTCTCTCTCTCTCTCTCTGTCTCTGTCTCTGTCTCTGTTTTATTTTTAAAATAAAGTGTGGAGGGGGTTACTTGTGCTTTTTCCCCCTTGTACACAACTTTGCCCTGGTTGCGAGTCGCTTTTTTCCCCCAATTACAAATACGTGCTTTTCGAGGTTTATTGTAAAACCGTTTTTCGTCTGGCTTGATTCTCCTCCGTCTGCAGCAATACAAGCGAGTTTTAGTCGTTTTTATAGGAATGGAAACCGGATGGGCTACCTGGTGTTGGTGGACTGCAACTCCGATCGACCGTAGCATTTATATGGGTTTTTTTTTGGGGGGGGGGAGTTCAGGAGTGTCTGGAGACTCAACGTACCCTGTCACCATGCAGGGTGGGACACAATATAGCCAACGATATTATATTATACAGTAGTCTAGTATGTGATGCTATGTAGTTCTCAGCATGGTGTACTGGAGTTGATAGATTAGAACTCTTGAGGACAGGGTTAATCCCCACTTGGCCATGGAAACTGACTGAGGGTGTGGGTAAAACAAATCATTTGATAGCTCACTTATCTTTAAAACATTATTAGGGTCACTATAAATTGGTTTGGACTTGACAGCACATAACAAAATACTATATAACGTCTATTAAACATGTCAGAAATCAAGTGCTATTGAACTAACTGAGACTTGAGAGCAGGCATATGAGAGATGGTGAGACTTGTCTGCAACAGTAGGAGATATTTACAATTAAGTTGGCCATGTGCTTTCCCCCCATTGATATGGAGAGAGATCACCTTTGGTGAAGCATTTGGTGGATGCTAGTACAGTACTGAAGGGACGTGGTGACGCTGCGGGCTAAACCGCAGAAGCCTGTGCTGCAGGGTCAGAAGACCAAGCAGTCGTAAGATCAAATCCACGCGACGGAGTGAGCTCCTGTCGCTGGTCCCATCTCCCGCCAACCTAGCGGTTCGAAAGCATGCAAATGCAAGTAGATAAATAGGGACCACTTCAGTGGGAAGGTAACAGCGTTCCGTGTCTAAGTCGCACTGGCCATGTGACCATGGAAGATTGTCTTCGGACAAAACGCTGGCTCTCTATGGCTTAGAAACGGGGATGAGTACCGCCCCCTAGAGTCGAGCACGACTGGACAAAAATTGTCAAGGGGAACCTTTACCTAGTACAGTACTGCTTTACCCAGTGTGCTGTAGTGAATAGCTGAACTCATGAAACCAGAATTGGAATCCTTATTTGGCCATGGAAACTCACTGGGGAGGAGATGGCTATACTTCTCACCTATGTACCTAGAAAGCATCCCTAGCATTGATATACGTCAGTTCTGATTTGATCTGATGGCACATAACAGTAGCTGTTTATGATGCACACCTTTTCAGGACTATTATCACAGATAGTAGGCATCCTTCAGTCTCAAGAGACAATGGTAACGTGCTCTGAATAGAGGACTTGGAACAGCGTGGCTGAGAAATGTGGCTGAGGCGGTCAATTCCATGCTGAAGACAAATACAGTCTGTCCCCTGTCCAGCTCCCTGGTTTTGCTGGTTTCGGGACTGCCTCTTTGCCTCGGCCTGCTGGAAAAGGGTCTCTTCAAATTGGGAGAGACTATGCTGCGCCACCTGCATCCAGGCTGAATGCTCAGATGTCAAGGTTTCCCATCTGTTGAGATCCATTCCTAAGGCCTTCAGATCCCACTTGCAGATATCCTTGTATCTCAGCTGTGGTCTCCCTCGGGGGCGGCTTCCCTGCACTAATTCTCCATACAGGAGATCTTTTGGAATCCGACCATCAGCCATTCTCACAACATGCCCAAGCCAGCGTAGATGCCACTGTTTCAGTAATGTATACATGCTAAAAATTCCAGCTCATTCTAGGACTACTCTGTTTGGAACTTTGTCCTGCCAGGTGATACCAAAAATGCATCAGAGACAATACATATGGAACGTGTTCAACTTCCTCTCCTGCCGTGCACAAAGGGTCCAGGACTCACTGCAGCATGGACGGAAGAACAGCTTTTCTGTGTGGAAAGGGAAGATTGTCATGCAAAGTAACTTAAAGGTATTTCTGTTATTCCAGAACTTGGGCCTTCAGGTGAAAGGATAAGTGTGCAGAAATGGTTCTGATTAAAAAAAAACAAATAAACAGCACAGACCTTCAATGGTCACCTGCGCTACTTGTTACAAGATGGAAGAAGGAGTCGTGGTTAAAATGCAGTTGCCTTTCACACTTCTGTCCTGAGGATTAGGTCCACTTTATTCTGTTTCCAGAAACCTACATTGTGTTGCGGTATAACAGGCTGCACTGAATCATACCCCCACAATGTGGTGTCTGTTAGATGGGGGTGACAGTCCAAGACGTAACATTATACTAGTGGAAAAAGTGCCATTCTCTTCCATTAGCACATTTGTCTTTCAATATGTCTCATACTATGAATTCCAAAGTATGAATGCTTTCTAAAATACTTGGCTAGCAGAAACTTTAGCCATACAGACATTTTTGCTTCAGAATTTCACTCAGTTATCTTGAGTTGCATTTTTAGAAATAATGCCCCTTATGTATGCTATTCCTGAATTTCTGGTGTAGTTCTACTGCCTTATTGTCTCCATTCTCCATTCCATTCACTCTTTCTTCAAAATGTTTCTCTTTACTCTTTTCTCTTTTAACATTTTTATTGTGCTGCTTTGTTGTCCAAATGTCTTGAGCTTGGAGTAAGAAACAAAAAAGATTAAATAATTAAAAAATGAATAGCTGTGGATTCAAGGATCCACAACAAGATTTCATGTACAATCTTCTCACATGGTTACAGTACACATAGTCCATCTGAATTACGGCACATTGGCAGAAAGCATGTTGTGCAGCTCCGCATGCATAACTCAAGAGTTACACAGGTGATAAGGAGAATTGTGACAAGGCAAAAATACTATTCACAAAACACTTTCACAGACATGCTGCACAATAGTTATACCGTGAGCCATGCTGTTAATTGCACAATCAGATTATACGATGTGGACTGCATGGGTGAAATGCACTGTGCAATTCTGCAAGTGTAACTCAGCATTATGCCAACTTCAATGGTACTTCAGCCACTGCAGGACAATTCTGTGGTGCTTGTTGACATCTGCCGCTGTTTCCATAAGGTCAAGTTACAGTGCATGTATCAGTGATACTAGATGAGTAAATTTTTGTTTATGCCCATAGTTACCTATATTGAAATGAAATGTATCATTATTTAAATTTTGAATAACATCAAGAATGAGAGTTCATTCCACTAGATTACTATGTGCTACTGCACTAACAGTTATTTTATGCATGTGTATTTAAAAATCCTATCATATTCAACAAGACTTACTTCCAGCCAAATATGCATAGGACATCAATTGTATACACACTTCATTGGGCATAAACCCTATAAGGCTCAGTAAGAATTACTCCCCAGTAGATGCAGTGTTGCAGGATTGCAAGGTTAAGAGAAGCATGAATTAGTCCTCACTGGATGATGCTTCATGGAAAGTAATTTCTCTTCAAGGCTTCATTTCTCTATTTGCTTGAAAGCGTAGTGTTTTGTGCAGTAGCAGATATTTCCAAAGTGTTAATGAAGTTGCTGTAAGTTCCACTTTCATGGACCTTTTAGTGAATAAATTGAGGAATAGTGGTTTTAATCCATGTTGGGAACCAGAGCTGACCTTTAGACATGGTAATAAGCATTCTCCCTGCACAAGCTGTCACATTCATTCATATTCATTTTGCTTTAGTTACTTTCTCCAATAGAAGCTTTCAAGAATGTTTCCAGCTGCAGTACAAGCTTTCCAATATCAGTTTATGATTGCTGTTTACACAGAAAATGTGAATCATTCTTGGTAAATACAATTTCTTGCCTTTAATAATATTTTCTCATTCATGATTCATTGTTATTTTGCAGATGTTTCTATTTCCCCTGAATAGCTGTCAAGAATGCCTGAGATCTGTTCTTGGAAATTACATTTAGAAGTTACACCATAAACATAAGTTTTTTTAAGGATCAGCATTTTTTTTCTCTTTGAAGTCCAGTGTCCTAGAAAAATAGGAGTGGAATTTTGATGTTACACTGAATTTACATCTCAATGCAATTGTATCTGTGGCCGGAACTGTATGTATGAAGGCCTGTCTTGCTTCTCATCTGTCAGATGATGGAAGTTATGTGAGCTCATCCCTGTTCTGTTGAGCCTCAGAGACACTAAGGGCATGTCCAGATGGGAGAAGTTGAAGTGGTCTGATTCACACTTTAAGGTTTTTATCATTAGTGAAATCTGCTTTATCTCACACTTGAATAACCCATGAGAAGGGGTCCAGGGAGGTAATTGGATTGCTCCAGTGTGTCATGTGTCACTCTTTTGATTATTGACACTCCCCTTCCAACCTCCTTCCCCACCTTTCTTCATGGCCGTCATTCAGTGAGCTCTGGTGACTTTACTTTTTGGTTAAATAAAGTAAGTGACATAGCACTATAGCAATGCATCTGCCTAGCATGGTACACATACTGTAATACTTTTATATTTAGACATACAGGCCATTGCCAATGATCTTTTGATTAATATTCAGATATGTGCTTTCCTAGAGGAATGTCTGCTTTCACGTTACTCATTTAATGGGCTCGCTGCATCAAGGTTCAAACAAAGACCACCCCAGTGAACTTTGTTTTGGTATTTTCTTCCTAATGATTCAGCACTGCATCAGATGCAATGTACCAAAACAGACTGCCAATACTGTATATCTTGTGTATCTAGAATAATGCTGTATCAATAGGAAAATATTTTCTTTTCTTTTCTTTAAATGTTATTTAATTTTTATAAATAAAAATTTAAAATGGTGGGGTATATAAAAATAGAGGAGGGGGTTCTGTCATCCCTTTAAATGCCACAATTCATCAAATACATCACAGGATTCTCAGCTCAGATAACAACACCCGCAGCTCTATTTGAGTACAAACTAAC